AAAGGGCAGCAGCTGAGTGGGCATCCAATAGTGACACGGGTGGCAGTTAATTACGGGATTCGTCATGCGCCAGCCAAATAAGGTGCTTACAAAGCTTAACTATCAGACAAGCTTACGAGAGGACCACACTAAGTCGCTTGGCCGAACACCAGCAACGCCACCAGAACTCGAACAAGCTTTCCATGTTTGCAGTGGGGTCACCAGCTGTAAGAGCACCAATGCTTAGCCCCTCGGCAGCAGTTCAAGCGCGACTGTATGCTCACTGACACCACTATTGTGTGAGCAGCGCAGCCGAGTCCAGCACCCTGTGAGCAGCGCAGCCCAGTCCAGACTGCTCACCTTCAGACACACCCCGAGGACGCTCCGGCTGCTGAACACCTTGAGGCAGCCGACCAGCTGGTTGAAGACGCGCACGGCGGCCGCCCAGAGATCAAACCGCTGCTGTTGGGACAGGCCGGCGCAGACTGCCACCCGCATGGCCTCCACCATCGACTCGAACATGCCGCGGTAATAGTGGCCGAACGTCGCCCTGCAGCGCCAGACACCGCTCAGGTGGGCCGGGGGCCTCCGACAACGGCAGCCGAGGAGGCATCGACACACGCAGATGCAGCAGGCTGGCACAGGCATGCAGGGTGCCACCGCGGGCGGGTGGAGCACTGCAATGAAAAGGCGAGCACTTGGACGGGCAGACGAGACGCAGACACAGGTAGGCAGGACTGGACACAGCCAGACGGGTCATTGGCGCCAGCGGACGGGGCACTGGCGCCGGCAGACGGGACACTGGCGCCGGCAGTCGGGGCACTGGCGCCGCCAGACGGCATACTGGCGCCGGCAGTCGGGGCACTGGCGCCGGCAGTCGGGGCACTGGCGCCGCCAGACGGGACACTGGCGCCGGCAGTCGGGGCACTGGCGCCGGCAGACGGGATACTGGCGCCGGCAGTCGGGGCACTGGCGCCGGCAGTCGGGGCACTGGCGCCGCCAGACGGGATACTGGCGCCGCCAGACGGGGCACTGGCGCCGGCAGACGGGATACTGGCGCCGGCAGTCGGGGCACTGGCGCCGGCAGTCGGGGCACTGGCGCCGGCAGACGGGATACTGGCGCCGCCAGACGGGGCACTGGCGCCGGCAGTCGGGGCACTGGCGCCGCCAGACGGGATACTGGCGCCGGCAGTCGGGGCACTGGCGCCGGCAGTCGGGGCACTGGCGCCGGCAGACGGGATACTGGCGCCGCCAGACGGGGCACTGGCGCCGGCAGTCGGGGCACTGGCGCCGGCAGTCGGGGCACTGGCGCCGGCAGACGGGATACTGGCGCCGCCAGACGGGGCACTGGCGCCGGCAGTCGGGGCACTGGCGCCGCCAGACGGGATACTGGCGCCGGCAGTCGGGGCACTGACCGCCGGCAGACGGGATACTGGCGCCAGCGGACGGGGCACTGGCGCCGCCAGACGGGATACTGGCGCCGGCAGTCGGGGCACTGACCGCCGGCGGGGCCAGACGGGGCAAGGGCACCGACAGACGGATACTCCCGCACGCCAGGCGGAACGTCAGGCTGTCGACCAGAACCGGAGCGAGTCAAGCGAATACGGACACAGAGCACAGACCGGTGCGGCGGACGGAGGCGAACCGGCGGAGCGGGCCTGGAGCGGCAGGCGCTCAGATCGGGAACACACAGACGTGGAGCGCATGACGACATGACGACATGACGGCATGACGACATAACGACGACATGGTAATCACGACAACGACGACGACGAGGACGGTAACGGTGACGACATTTCGAGTGAGGATGGCCGTGATTAGCGACAAAAACGGCTTTATGCGTGAGAGGATCGTCGCTGACGACGACTAACCAGTTATGAGTGACAGGATCCTCGTTGAAGACAAAGAGGCGTTTAAAGACAACAAGATTGTCGTTGACGACAAATCACCATTAATGTGTGACACGAATGTCGCTAACGACGAATCGATATGCATGCGTCATCGAATCGTCGTCGACGACGAACATGCATGCTGCCTATAATAAAGCTGGAAGACTGTGACTCGTTGCACTCGATGGTATCGGACTATCAATTGCCAGCACATCGCCCTCATCTGATTTTGATTTCATTTTTTTCAGATGATCTCCAAAATGTAATCTAAATGACATCAACCTAAAATCGCATAGGTGAAGTCTACACCAGGACTGTCCTCTAAAAACACGAATTGATGGCCTAACTCGTTCAATGGTTCCTATTTCAGATGCGTCAGATGATCATTTTCATCTACTCATTGGCCACCACTTAACATAAGCCGCTGCGTACGGAGACTGCAACGCCGGGCGTCGACGTTTTTGTCGCTGCGAGTTGTGAGCACGTATTTTCGAAACTTTGTGTTATAATCATCTCTCTTATCTATTCTAGCTGAACGTTGAGCTTTTCCAGGTAAACATTGGATGGCCACGTAAGATATATTTTACTCATTTCGATTTACAATCTGCGTTCATTGGGTCTACAATAGCTGCATAACCATGTCAAAGTTGTTCTGGAAAATCTCCTGAATGGTGTTAGTTTAAAAAGAGTCAATTGAATCCTTGTAAAATGAAGAGCGATGCTGATGTACCCCCATGCAATCGTTCACCTGAGCTCTTCAGCTGATTGGCTTCAGCATACAGAGTAGATATCATGATGCCGTTTGGCATCCGCCCCAGTAAAACAAGGTAAACACAAAGTGAAGCGAAGAAAACCATGCCCCTACATCAACAACTGGGCCATATCACGCGACTTTTTGGGGACGGGGACGTTTCACATCAAGGGGGCTCTTTGTCGACTCGGTGTAATCTCCTTTTTCCAAGGCCATGGCTGCGCCCCTGCATGTAGCACAAAGGGAGTCACTTCGTCCTCAACAACAGGAAAAATAGATTCAGAATTGGGGGTGAAGTGGGCATAATTTTTACACAGCCTAAAATTTTGCAACTTACTATACAAGGCCTTAAAGCATCCCCAAACTTATTACGTTGGCACAAGACGAAATTTTTAGCACCCGAGAAATTACATAGCGGCCTCACGCCTGCACGTGGAGTGATGGGACATGATATGGCAGCCCGGAAAAATATGTATAATTAAGCTGGACGTTTGTAAATAAGTGCATTCGGTATGACTGGTACTATCAGCTGCCAGCACAATACCCGCGTTCAATTTTTGAGTCGGGTTTTGTGGACGATCGCATAGAATATAATATAAAATAATGTATACATATTATTCGACGTGCTTGGTATCGGACTGCCAGGCGCCAGCGCCAGCGCCAGCACCCCGACGTGCTTGGTATCGGACTGCCAGGCGCCAGCGCCAGCGCCAGCACCCAATCAGGTCCCGTATCGGACTGCCAGGCGCCAGCGCCAGCGCCAGCACCCCATCAGGCCCCGTATCAGACCGCCAGGCGCCAGCGCCAGCGCCAGCGCCCCATCAGGCTCCGTATCAGACCGCGTTATCTTAACATTCCGCGGTACGAAAAACGGCCAATCAGGGCGAGGGGTCAAAAGACAGTGTTGGATGTCCTGTTATGTATTCATGAAAAACAGTGCAAGTGCTTTACACCACATCACAAAGAGCAATCTGAAGGGAATGGAAATTGAAACACCTCTTGCCTGCACGATAACCACGCTGCACCAAATTGCCTGCTTACCTACATTACTTACGTCGCAAAAATATGACTAAGGTAATGGCGAGAATGACAGTAATTGACACATGAAACACATGGAGCAAATCTTCATGGACCTTAAGATCCTTTCAATTTGCATTGTGGCAAAATGAGATGGCATGCAACCTGACGCTTACCATGGGGTAATAAATGACGGACGAGTGGCAAGAGCATCCACACACTGGCCAGATCAGCTGCGCATAATATATGCCGATATGATTTAGAATAAACTGCCCAGATACACGTTACACCCGATATGATGTCCAAACTTTTGATACATAATGTCCAGACTGCAGACTATTGACCCAGCACTTCTTGACAGGATATGTTCACATGCTACGCCATGGCAGCGATGGCACCTCATGAGCATCGCATCCTTCAGCCCCGGAAACACATCACATGGCTTGGTTACCAACCCATCGGATGTGCGTGTTTGAACAGCGCCGTACAGGTCCACACCACACCCACCCACCCCCACCCCCACACCCACACCCACACCCACACCCACACCCACACCCACAGCGCGACCACAACACTGGCCTGTTTGATCTCCATCATACGGCTGTTCAATATAGACTCCAAACACAGAAGCCGATCGTACTATCGCCAAGCCGTCGTTGAAATGTCTAAATGAGGCCAAGACTGTCAAAATGGTGCTAATCATGCTCTCTCATTTTAGACCAGGCGCAGGTCCAGATATAAAAACAATTATCGCAGTGACGATGCGGGACAAATCGATAAGATGAGAACGCGGTAAATGGACCCCTCTCTCCACAGTGACCAGGAAGGCGTCGTGCTCTGATCGCGCTTGCAAGCTACGTTGCACGATCTACACCGGCGAGCCTGAAACTGGCAGCCGTCTTCCTATATGAACGATGCTCGTGAGGTGCACGCAGTAATGTTTTAAAAGCATCACCGTCACTTGTATTCAAACCTCTGCCCGCGTGACAGCAGGGCAACTCATCCCGAACGGGACCAGCAGTTCTCCCACCAGAATGCCGTCCACACAAGGCCCGGGCCGCCGACATCTGGGTGGGTTTTGTTGGGCGAGTCCACAAAACAACATATCAACATCTAAAACACGACAGACTTGAAACATTAAGCCACTAAACCTACTCAAAGAGATCATGGCAAATGAGAGCAAGTTTCGCGCAGCTTGCAATCGGACACTGAGAGGTGAAAACGTCCTCGCCACGAGCGAGTGGGATTCTCCAGGAAGCCAGACTATCTCCGCGAAGGCCTAGGAGATCCTCCAGCAGACTCGACCGTTCCTGCACCCCCCCCCCCCCCCCTCTAAGCTCCCGCCTGTGCGACAGCACCAGCCTTCACTTGATCATCTTAAAAAGCACCAGCGAGAGGACCATGCCGAGCAGCATGACAAAAGCGATGCCGACGCCGACGCCGCCCAGGATGGAGGCGTGATCGAGCGCGAACTGCTGCAGCCGGTCGCGGCAGCCGAGCTGGTGCGCCTGCGCCACAGAGCAGGAGGTGGCCGCCGGGCCGGAACAGCACGAGTCGGGCAGCGTGCTGAGGTGACCGCTCCAGCTGCGCGGTCCCGACAAGCCGCAGCACGCCAGCTGGTCAAAAGAACAGCACAGAGTGCGTCAGGGAGCGCACCACCGCACGCACGGCCACACACGTGCGGTACTTCCCATGTAGCAGTCACAACCGGGATAACATGGATATCAGTTAAAAGCATATCAACCCTGTGGCGAACAAGAGCCCCTAATCCCTGTTGCATATAGGGTGCTTTTAGTTTGAAGCGATTAAAATCTGTTAGAATCCATACATTTCACCGAAGATTTATTTCTTTGGGAGGCAGCCAAGGCCAAGCAATGTTTGCTTCTTTGTTCAGAAATAATACTGCGCACGAGCAGCCATGGAGATTCCAGACATCCAAGATCGCGACACAGCAGAACGGCCGGGTTCCATTATGAACCAGGTCAGACCAGGCACGTCCTCCACACCTGACATACCGTTGTCTGTGCCGCATCCCAGGCGTCCTTGATGGCCGGCTTCGTCTCGTACTCGTCCAGGGAAACCATCATCTGTGCTTCAATCGTATCCTGCACGCGTTGCTTAAACACGTAACTGACGATGCCGCCCACTAACAGCACCACGAACATCACGAGCAGGATCGTGAAGTACTGCGGACAACGGCGAGTATTCAGCAGGTTGTCACGGGCTAACCGCGGAGAATGAGTGCTGATGCGTTTTACCGTCCCCCTCCAAGCGAAAACTTTCAGTAGTGCCACTCGGCATTGATATATTGCTGATGCAACAACACCGAAACTGTCTGGCCATCAAGTCTGCTTCAAAAAGCCTCGTCACTAAAACCAGATGCTCGGAATGGTAAAATGCTCCAGCTTTTATATTTTACAAGGCCAGCAATTGTGCTTCGGATCATCGACAATCCGCAGCAGCCAGCGTTTGAGGACCTGCTTACCGAAAACAGCATGCAGCGGACCTCCTTGACGGCGCCGATGCAGCCGAGCAACGAGATGAGCACTACCACAACACCGCTGGGGATGAAGATGTAGGCTGACGAGGCGTACAGGTCGGTGCCGAACAGCTTCTCAAACTCGGACTTGTCCACCACCGTCCAGATGCCGACCGCCAGCACGGCCGCCCCGCCAAGCTGTCCGAGCGGCGAGGAAAGTCAGACCCTTCAGCGGCAGCTGGTGCACGGCACACCGAGCTGTCCCACATCCAGCTGTCGGCGGCAGGGAAAGTCAGACCCTTCAGCGGCAGCTGGTGCACGGCACACCGAGCTGTCCCACATCCAGCTGTCGGCGGCAGGGAAAGTCAGACCCTTCAGCGGCAGCTGGTGCACGGCACACCCGAGCTGTCCCACATCCAGCTGTCGGCGGCAGGGAAAGTCAGACCCTTCAGCGGCAGCTGGTGCACGGCACACCGAGCTGTCCCACATCCAGCTGTCGGCGGCAGGGGAAAGTCAGACCCTTCAGCGGCTGCTGGTGCACGGCACACCGAGCTGTCCCACATCCAGCTGCCTGCCGTCACCCGCCGCGGCAACATGACTTCGGACGGTGAGTACCAAGATCATGAATAGGAAAAATGGATAGCCCCTATTTGCCTCTCTTCTGTCCATCTCCCTCCCCTCTCATATGGTAGTTGCCTCTAAATATTAAGCATACATTAAGCAGATGTCTAAGCATACTTTACAAAGCCCGCAACGCACAACTCGAGACTGGTTAAATAGCAAAATTATTAAACGTAACGTAGATTCTTCCTAATGGACAATTCTCGCTGTACACGTTAAATCAAAGTAAAACAACCTGAAACATCTCGCGAGACGCAAATACCATCTGTGTCCAAGAACAGACCTCGTGAATCCCATTCACCATCGCAGCAGGCAGGAAACATAGAATACATTTCCTTGCCCGAGGCCACCACAGTAAATCCTGTGGTGAACAGCGGGCCAAAGGCGACCGACAGAGGGTCAATGACCTGAAACCACATGCATTTTGCGACATTCCTGTTCTGCCTGCGCTCCATTTCACTCTCGATGTGTTGTCGATCCTCCGACTTTCACTGGATGGTCTCTCCACCTGTTTTGAGGTCACACATAACGATTAATAAACACTTGATTTGAAAGCACGAGTTCTGGCTTTACTTTAAACACCACGCTGCACTGCCGATCTTCAAAATTGAAGAGTGCCTTAAAGGCACTTAAACCTCGATGCCCTGGTGCGTGGCGGGGTCGGGCACTGAGACCAACGGCTCGTATTCGCCACAATATCAGGCAATCTTGCACCAGACTGACGAAATGCGCGCACGTAGCACTCACCAGGATTAGAAAGTTGGAAATAAATAGAAGGTACTTGACGCACTGACCACAGCCTTCCATTGGCTTTCCTTCTGCCATTCTGATAGAAGCTGGTTCTGAAAGCGACGGATAGATCACGTTAAACAGGAAATAACAAAATCATGCATATTCGGGGAACGAAATGCTAAAAAACAACGTAGCGACATGATTTTGATAACGGTAAGGTATCCATGACGAAGCGCTATCCAATAATTAATTGACGGTGCTACATTTTTTTTTAAACGGTCTTGAGAGCACCCTGTGCTTAATGCCCAGGTCAGCATTTTTTTAGAGAGAAGAGGAGAGCATGGTTTTTATTTTGCAAGAAGTATAACTTTTTCAACTAAATAAAGTGAAAATAATTCACGATGTTAAAAGAGCATTAAAGTGCCTATTTAACGTCTAGTTCAGGACAAATCCGCGTGGAGACTTGGCGGGTTTAAGTATTTTCTGGAAATAATCAGTCAGGATCGTTTCTTGTGTTTTTTCGCGGATTTGGATGGCAAAAATGCGTTTTGCGCTCAAAGAAGAATTTTAACACAAGTAAACATATAACGAGGCAGAATAACCTCTTTAAGCATATGACAGCTTGCTGCCCATCATTAAGGGTGTCGTTTCCTGCTTATTTGGGCGCTGAAGCCTCTCAACTTTGAGAGGAAAGTGGGCCTTAACTGGGAATGAAAATATCTAACGCATTTTGAGGGGAGGTCGAACTATTTTTCGCTGATTAGCTCCCAAAACACATTTTGCGAAACCACGCCGCAGCCCAGACTTATCACTTTGAAAAAGAAGCCAAAACGCCTTTAACTGGATGGTTTAAACACTCCGCCATCATCTGGTTCTGGTGCGTTACCATCGACACTAACCCATTAGTTTTTTGTTTTAATACTCACCCACTAGACGAAGAAAAGTGTCCAAGCAATTATTTCATCCTTTAGTATTCCGGGCCTCTGACAGACATGAAATGACCCCTTATCGATCCAGAGCCCCGACCAACGTAAATCGCGGGCCCCGGCCTTGTCCCAGGTTAGGAAGTGGGCCTCAAGACCCAATGATACACGGAGACTGTTCGCTTCTGGTGATGCCTGACAAACACAGAGGCCCTCAGCGACTCGGGGGGCCCGGTCGGCACACATGGTTCTCTGACAGGCCTTTAAGGACCCGGCCCGCATGCCTGGGCCTCTTATTATGACCTCCAGCCGGCCGTTTGCGCTATTGGGGCGATTCGGACCCTCAAATCGGGTCCCTCATTTTCGGTCCCAAAGGCCCTTCTGGCCCCTCTTCTGGTCCCCTCGAACACTGTCCCTGGCTGAATCGAGCCTCTTGCTAATGCAGGGTCCCTGCTAACCATACTCTGCGGCCCTGGCTGACACAGGGGCTGCTCATTAATACAGGGGCCCCCATTGACACAGGGCCCCACTGACATAGGGGCCCCCACTGACAGAGGGGCCCTGCCTTATGTAAGCTGGGGCCCCTGACTTGTCTGTCCTTGGAAACTGGGTCCTCAGGCCACGACCGAAACGAAGGCGATCGCTCAGTACCGGCAGTGTTTAACTGACAGAAGCCCTCATCGACTCAGCGGGCTTCCGATCGGCGTAAAGGGCTCTCTGATAAACATTTGAGGGCCCGAGGGCTCTTAATGCGACCTCCGTTCAGTCCCTCGGGTCCTTCCGGTCCTCAAATAGACCATTAATTGCCAGTCCCATGGGCTCGAAGGGGCCCTCAAAACCTCAGGACCGAGGGGGAGGGAGCATGTGCTATCTGCGCCCCTCTGCCTTTGCCACGGCTGAAGCCAAAAACACATTTATTCAGCACATACGTTTAAAATGTGGACATGCAATTTAAGAGCTTACATGAATTAAAATTTTACTATTTACACTCCCCAATGACCTGAATTTAGGGAACTCAGACCCGGTTAGAATTTTGGCAACATTAGTAAGCAATGCAGGACTTGAGATCTGCGCTCAACCCATCACACCATACACGGGGCGTGATTCATTTCGCTGCAGCTCCAGCTGTTTACAGGGATTAGTGCAGCGTCCACAGGGCATCTGAATTGGCATGCAATGCCTGCAAGCAATGCAACAAATGTTTTGGTTTTCTAAACGTTCTGGCCATCCGTTCAAAGCCAGGCGTACACTCTCTCCTTTACTGAGCCATATAAACTTAATATAATTCCGAATACCACCATGCGTGTCACAGGACACCAGCAAACTCATCCACACACCCACACCCACACCCACACCCACACCCACACCTACACACCCACCCACACATGCACACACCCACATCCGCCTCCAGCAATTGCCTCTAACTGTACAGCCAAAGCACGCCAGAGATGTAAGAGCCATGCTCGTGTATCGCGGGGAAAATTCCTTGACACATATTTCACTGCAATCAGCTCTCTATCGCCATTGCGGAAATTACCTACCCGTTACCCCACTGCTGCTGGGCTTCGCCAAACTGCTCCCAAACGAAAGACAACGGCTAAATTAGTAGCACAAGCAATGCGAATGATCATGCTGCAGATCTTCACAACAATTTTTTAACAGGCGATACATTGTCCAAGAACAAGTCAAACACCTACAACTGCTGAAGCATTTGCAAACACGCGCTTCTACTGGTTGATTAATATATGTATATATTTATATCTTGATCTTGGCTATATATATATATATATATATATATATATATACAGACAAAATCCCAATTACATGAATTCATTGTCTCGTAGAAGCCGCTCTTCCTCGACTAAGAGAGCAGATTTCACGACTAACGATCAAAATATGATAACAGGAAGATTTGTCTAGAGTGATCCGCAGTACCTGCTGGTAAAAACCAGCTTTTCGATCACAAGAAATCTCACGCAGCTGATATTCTGAGCTCGCGCTTTTCTTCCGTCGTAGTGCTAAGGAACAAAGCGCTGTCGAAATGAAAATGCACATACCACGTGCTCGCCTCAAACAGCGTGTGTACTAGATGAAACATTGCAGCGCAAATTGAACACTCCTTGCAAAGGAAATGCACCAAATTCATCGGAAAAGCATGCTGCAACGGGTCCCCCTCCTGACCCAAGCTGTATTAACAGACACAATCTCTTTGAATGATCCACGCCGGAGAAATAAACATGCACAACATTGCATACGGCATTGGCTGCCTTCCACAAGTTCCAGCAACGGTGACGTCGCACTTTCAAAAGCCTACACGAGCCAGGACGTCTCCCTTCGCACGCATAATCCGCGCGTATACGGCGCATTAGGGGGAAGGCGCGTGCGGGAGCCCCGGAATCGAGCCGTCCGTTCGATATCGCACCGCCCTGACATGTCGGCAGCAGGTTGTAGCCAGACCAGGGCGTGGCCGCGTTCGGCGCGGATGGTGCACGTCGTAGCCAGACCAGGGCGTGGCCACGTTCGGCACGGATGGTGCACGTCCTAATCCCATTACGGTGAACGGCCAGCTCACTTCTGCGTGACCAGTGACGGCTCGACCGGCCCGAGCATGCGACCGCCCTGTCGCGGCCGGGCCGGGGCCAGAGCACCAAGCTGGGCGCAGCGCGTAGGCGCGGTTGGGGACGGTTGAGGCGCTTGTAAGTTGCCGTCCGGCGGTTTGAGGCTTTAAGCTCACTGGTTGTGTCATACAGGGGCATACTTCATATACTTTTGGGGGGGGAACTCCTATGTTTACTTGCACCCTCCCCACAGTGCCTCCCTGAGCTCCTCAAGGCATATGAGCAAAAAGAGAATGCTTAGCCAAAGAAATGTGGAGGAATGGTCTAACTATTTGTGCACTGGGTGCCTGGACACCTAATTACATGTATCATGTTCATTTTGTACCAGAGGCGAAGCAAGGATTTTCTTAAGGGAGTGACCAAAAGCTCGGTGGGTAAGCGTCACGCTGACTGACTTACTGTCAGGAGCCATCTATGGTGAAATAGAAGGAAATCCGGGCTAAGGGGAGCCCCTTTTTGGCTGCTCCTCCGTCTCGTGCCTCACAGCATGCTGTAGCAGCCTGATGTTTTTATCATGTCAAGCCTTCAAATGTTTTGTTTGTTTTGTCTTGTGCTGCATATATAACACCTGCAATGGGGCAAAAAACAATTTGCTGCGAAATGTGGCAACTTTTAAGGGCACGGTGTGGCGTAGGTAAAAGTTAATTCGTGTTTCCCTCAAAAGTGGCAATTTTTTGTAGCACAATCGCGATTTATGCCGTACATCTGCCAAGTAGATGCCAAAACACGATCAGTGACAGCGGTGGTCACCAGTGATTCCACACCCGTCGAACGGTGGCAAGTACTCCAGGTGAGCCCCGTGGTGGTCCAGGATGCCCCACAGGTGGACCTGCTGCGGGCGAGCGACTGGCTGGACGACTGTCTGGTCCACGGCGATCCGCTCCATTAAAACCAAACGAAACAACCTCAAGTTGTTTCTCATTTTGACATCTGGGACGCAAACCAAAGTAGCCAAAATTGGGGACCACGTATCATTTTAGGGATTAATCAGGTCAACCTTATCAACTCAGCCCCTTCCCACAGCTGATTTTAGAAAGAGAAACCCCTGATGCCACCAGATATTTTTTCGAACCCTTCCAATTCAGTGGTGGGACATCCGGACTGACCAGCAAGTCGGCTCGCCGCAGTCTCGACATTAATAATTGGTTTCTTTAGCTTAAGCAGCTTTTCTAGTTGGAGAAACACATCAGTGATCTTTGAATTCTCTTTCGGTAAGGTTGATCGTTTCTGTCAGGAGGTAAACGTGCACTCTTGATTTTTGGTCTGTGTTCAATCAAGACAGCATGCAAAATGCAGTCTGCAATGATAAAATAGTCGACGGTTTTTGTTCACATGATGTCTGAAGTGTAGACCATGTTTTCCGTAGAGACTTTGCGGGAAATAAAACGCGACTTCTTTTAGGAAACAACCTGCATATCACCCACAGAACGTATCAGGGCTACAAAATGTCACGTTACATCGTGACAACAAAAAGTGTTTTTCATCCGTAATCCATAGGTAGTGGATGAGGCTTAACCTAATTTTGAAGACACAAATCGGTGAGTGCGTGCAATGCCAAATTTGTGAATA